CTATGTTGTGAATAAATTTTGAATTTACATCGTGTCTGGATTAAAAAAAAATAAAGTTGTCAACAAAAAAGTTAAAATCTGATCAATTCTATAGAATTTAAAATGGCGTCGTTTGGAATTCCTCCATTTTTGCACGTGCCCTGGTGCGAAATGATTGAACTAAGCATTGAAAGAAATGAAGGTTGCTAGGATTTTCCAAAGAACTAAAACACTTTGACATTACCATCGCATGCAAGAAGACATAAAAAAGCTATTCCAATAACATGGGTATGATTTTAGGGCCGTTATCAATATTAACTTACACTGCATACAGACTTTCTTAGCTTTTTCTTAATATCAAGAGATGTTTGTATGCTGAAATCAATGTGGTATTGTGATAGTTCCGACGATAACAATTGCAAGTGTGGGAAAAAATTAAACATTCACCCATTGAATAATTCAGTTCGTCCAATATTTTGATAATATAGTTAATTGACAAAACAGCAGGGGGTAGGCCTAAAGCACTTATGTGTGTGAAAAGAATTTTAGTGTGGTCAGTTGGAATTCTTGCACGGATAGTGTATACATGTACGGTTTTGAAATGTTGAACAAGACTGCCTGTGACGGTATATATTGTCGTTTTGTACATATTGTCGTTGGAGACAATATGTACCTACCCTCACTGCACATATTGTCGTCCATCGGTACATATTGTCGCCGACTGAAAAGTTACATATGTACATATTGTCGCTGGCGACATTATGTGCCTCACCCTCACTGTACATATTGTCGCCCCACAGAAATTGTTGTTTAAAGATGTCTTTTGTTGGTTTTTGGTAGTTTTGTGAATGAAATTGGTGTAGAAATCACAATGACGTGTCTCTTATGCTATTTCATACAGCGTGATTGTGACGGTACATTTTGTCGTCCTGCTCATATCGTCGCCGGCGACAATGTGTACCTTCCCTCACTGCACATATTGTCGTCCATCAGTGTTATTGTGTATGTTAAGTTAATTATTTAATTATGAAATTCTACCTGTGGACTAAATATATACAAGTTAAACAAACAAAATTTAAAAAAAAAAAAAAAAAAAATCAAACCACCAAGCGAGGGGGGGGGGGGGGTGGCAACTTCTGTCTTTGGTGTTTGGAAAGATTTTTAAAGATTTTCTGTATATACTTGTATATTCCTATGTAAAACTTTGATCACCCATTGTGGCCCCACATTAACCCTTGGGTCATAACTTGAACAAAATTGATTTTGTTTTTGTTTGTTTGTTTGCTGTTAAAATGTCCCTCTCGAGAATTTTTCACTCATATTGAGACGTCACCGCTTACCGGTGGAGGGCAGCAAATTTATACTTATACTTGTCACTCAGGATCATTGATCAGTGAGGGATCTTTTTTGTGCCAGAACCTCAAAATTGAACGTGCGCTATGAAGCTTTCACATAAGTATCATCTCTTTTGAGCCAGTAGTTCTTGAAAAGAAGATTTTGAAAGAATGTTTTTTTCTAAATATTCTATGAAAAACTTAGATCATGTATTGTAGCCACACCTATCCTCCGAGGGACATGATCTGAATAAAACTGAATCTACACTTTTTAGTAAAGCAGACCTGTTTACTCTTACGATTCGCCGTATTTTGTACGGATTTTGAGTCCAAAATACGTCTCACGCTTTGCTTTTATGAAAATACGGAAATCGGGAAATCCGTTCGTAGTTAGTTTTCGCTATGATCTTTCTCAGTTTGACGCTTTTTAATCGCTGAGAAAAGAGAAAGATTTCAAACACTTCAGTGATATCGGGTTGCAAAAACGCTGTGATCTAAAAAAAATGATAGAAATCTTTCGAAAGAAAGCAAAGTTTGATGTTTTTCCTTGTTATTAAACTATGTTTTGGTATTCACAAGTAATATATACTGTATGTAAAATCGATGGATAGTGAAATCTTACGGGCAAATGCCAAATCTCACTGACAAATCTTTTTGAAAATACTGAGAGACAACAATATGGGTAAACAGGTCTGATAAAGCTATCAACTTTTCTGACACAGTGGTTTTTGAGAAGATTTTTAGAAGTCACTAAATTCTCACTTATTCTTAACTACTTCCCTAAAAAGAGAGCTTGGCCCTTCATTTGAACAAACCTGAATCCCCTTTATCCACAGATGCAAGTGGCAAATTTGGTTGAAATTGACCCAGTTGGTCTTGAGAAGAAGCTGAAATTATGAATAGTTTACAGACATACGGGAGTCAGACAAAATGTGATCAGTAAAGCTCACTTGAACTTCCAGTTCAGGTGATCTAAATATGTTATTTTTTGCGTTATTCTTATATTATTATTAACAATAAATTATATTTATAATATTATATCGGCACATGATCGTATAAAAGAATAATGCAAAAAATAATTTCCAAATAATCATTACTACTGAACAAAAAAAATACCTGTATTCAATCTCCAATTTTGTATTACAAGAAAAAAAAAATAGCTGATTTATCAGATATCTCAAGAGTTACAGTATCTTGATATGTCATAGTGATGTACATCAATCTTGGACACAATTTTTTGACCAAAAAGTTTTCTCCCTACAGTATTGTCCGTAATGCTGTCTGTCTCCCTCCGTGTGTGTATGTGTTTCTCAATCTCTCTTTCTTTTCTCAAGTAAATATTCGTCAAAATGATATATCGACGACAATATATGCCGACCTTGACTGTACATATTGTCGCCGACGACAATATGTGCTGGTGCTTGACTGTACATTTTGTCGTCCATTATGCAGGAGGAAAATAAGGCTCGTCTCGGTACATATTGTCGCCGGCGACAGTATGTACCGATGGACGACAATATGTGCAGCGAGGGTAGGTACATATTGTCGCCGACGACAATATGTACAAAACGACAGTATGTACCGTCACACTGCCTCTTCCAAAATTGTGAATTTCATGACCCCTGGGTCAGGGGTTCTGGTGTTAGGGCGGGGCTTTATTGATTATATAGTAAAAATATATTAATCCTTTAAAAAATCTTTTTCTTTACTCATGAACATCAAGAAGTCAAACTATTGGCATGAATGTAATAAGCATTGAGCTCTCTACCAAAATTGTGAAATTTATGGCCCCAGGGTCAGGGGTTTTGGTGCTAGGGTGGGGTTATATAGATTATATTGAGAAAGTGCATTATTACTTTTAAAATCTTCTTCTCTGCTCCTAGGATTTGAATAAACTAACTAAGTACATTGTTATGATAAGCAAGAGTGCCTCTTCCAAAGTTGTGAAATTCATGGCCCCTTGGTCAGGGGTTCTGGTGTTAGGGCGGGGCTCCATTGATTATACAGTGAAAATGCATTATTTCTTTGAAAATCTTCTTCTCTGTTCACGGGTATTAAATAAACTAACTTAGTACCTAGTAATGATGAGGAATTTCGTGGCCCCAGGGTCAGGGTTTCTGATGTTAAGGGGGGCTCTATTGATTATATAGGGAGAATATATTAATTCTATGAAAATATTCTTCTCTGTTCCTTGGTATTAAACCAATTAACGAAGTTTAAAGTTATGATGAGAAAGAGTGCCTCATCCAAAATTTTGAATTTCATGGCCTCTGGGTTGGGGTTCTGGTGAAGGGGAGGGGGGGGGGGGCTCTATAGATTATATAGTTAAATGCATAATATCTTTTAAAATATTTTCTCTTCTACCGGTTATAGCGTCTCCATATGAGTGAAAAATTCTCGAGTTGGACGTTAAACAAAAAATAAACAAACAAAATCTACTGGTTATTAAGCAAAGAAACAGGTATATAGTTATGATGAGCAAGGGTGCTTCTTCCAGAATTGTAAGTTCATGGCCCCTGGGTCAGATGCTCCGGTGAAAGGATGGGGCTTTATTTATTTAATAATATAGTGAAAATGCATTTCTTTGAAAATCTTCTTTGCTTCTGGGTATATTGGAGGCAAACAGAGTAAAAGTTGTAATATGTAAGGGTATTTTTACCAGAATTTTGAACACCTGGACCATTTAGTCAAGTGTTGTGGTCCTGGCCAGGGCTCTATTAATTTGTATTCTGCTGAGCAAAGTTATTCCCCATTGCCATTCACCTTTGATAATTAATCACTGTAAAAAATGCATTTTAAAGGTTAATAGAATAATAAAATTATGTAAGAATGTTTATTGTATAATACAAAAAGTACTTTCATAGTTTTAATGATCAGGTAGACTTAGAAATAATAGATGAATAAAAATGAAACAAAAATAACTTATCTAGTATCTTTTTTAAATGTTCTTCAAAGGCCAAGAGAGGTCAATGTGAGAAGTAATAATATGGTGTTAAAAAATAGACATTCTGTTAAAAGTGTGCATGGTAATAGTGATAAATGGGAGACAGATAGATACTAGACCAATTATTTTGTTGATCTTAATCATACAATTTTTCTTGCTTTTGGGCAACAAAGCTTCATTTATCAGTTAATGGATCATCTTATTTTTGTATTGTACTCAGGTGACCGTTAAGGCCCTTGGGCCTCTTTTTTAAAATTAATAATCAAGTACGACAAAGTGTACGACAAATCAAAGTACACTGCCACCATGCATACACGAAGTGCTTAATGTTCAGGAAAAACTAACATACTAAAGCGGACAGAAATATTTTTTTTAAAAAAAAAAGTTTAACATAATGCAGACAATTTGCAGCTTAATGCCCTTGAATAAAAAAGGGGTACTGTATATTTAATGCATTTTCAAAATATGTTTATGAGCAACTAGGCGGTATCCTTGGGTCTAAACGTTAGATTCTGGACCATTAATTTTAAATTTTGGTAGAGAGTTTAGAATCATACAAACGTTGCCTGCTAAATGTCAATGACCAGAAAGGAAGATTTTCAAAGAATTTTCGATTTGACGTTGTACTCAAATTATTAATGCTCGGCTTTCAGTACTTTGACAAGCAATAAAATTAGCAAATTATTTTAATCTTGTGTATTAGAACAGATTTTCACTTGTGCTTTTTTTAATGATGCTTGTAGGAGATGTCACATCTTTCTGTGCTGTAAACAAGTATGCTACAGTTGCTGATGGTTTAAATGCTGCCTACTTTATCAACTGCTCAGATTCTAACCCAGCACACACACACTACATTCAGGAGTGTCCCTACCCTGAATTGTTTTCTATTGAGACCAACAGCTGTCAGGACTTCAGGGTGGTACCGACAGACTCTAGAATGGTTCCTCAGGCACCATGTAGGTGAATTATAAACATGGATTTCCGTTTATACAGACAAAAAAGGGTGACTGTGGTGACAAATTTTTGTTTCTTTTTTTAAGGTATCCTGAGTCACTCAGGTGTCCTATTGCTATCTTCAACTTCTTCTTTTGAACTGCTGAACCAGTATCATCCAAATTTAGCATATAGCACCAGCTGATGAAGGGGTACAAAAATTGTGAATTTCATGGTCCCTGCCCCCCTCCCCCCGGGGGGAGGGGGGGCTGAGGGGTGAGGCTAAAACCATCAAAATCAATGTCTTTGAAAATCATTTTTTTTATTCCTGGACATCAAGAAGGCAAACTTTGACATGAATGTAATGAGCATTTAGCCCTCTACCAAAAGTATGAAATTCATGACCAAAGTGGCAGGGGTTCTGAAGTTAGGGCTAGCTTTAATGATCATGTAGTGAAAATCCATTAAGTCTTTAAAATTCTTATTCTCTCCCCCTGTGTGTTTAGAAAATTAACTAGTCAATGATAATGAAGTGCCTAGTCCAAAATTTGAAATTTTTTACCAGGGTCAGAAGTTCTGGTGTAATGGTCATTTAGTGAAATGCGCAAATTCTTTAAAAAATCTTCTTCTTCTCTCCCCCCCCCTCTTCATGTTCTCTCCCGCCCCACCCCCACCCCTTCCCGTTTATTTAGAAAACAAACCAGGTGCAAGATTATGATAAGCAAGGGGGTCTCTTCCAAAATGATGAATTTTATGTCCCCAGGGTCAAGGGTTTTGGAGTTTTGGCGGGGCTCTAATGATCATATAGTGAACATGCATTGAACTTTTGAAATCTTCCTCTCTCTCCCAGTTTATTTAGAAGATAAACCAGGAACATGGTTATGATGAGCAAGGTTTATCTTCCAATAAGGTGAAATTTGTGGCCCAAGGATCAGGGTTTTGGAGTTAGGACAGGACTCTTATGATCAATTAGTGAAATTGTATATATTCTTTAACAATCGTATTCTCTCTCCCTCTATATTGAGAAAATAAACAAAGTGCCTGGTTACATATATGAGCAAGGGTGCTTCTTCAAAAATATGAAATTTGTGGCTCAAGAAGCAGGGGTTCTGGCATTAGGGTGAGGCTCTCATGATCATATTATAAAGTGAAAATGCATAAATTCTTTCAAAATCTTCCTTCTCCCCCTCTATATCAGATAAATCAGATGTATGATTACGTTGAGCAAATTGCCTCTTCAAAATTTGTGAAATCTGTAGCCCCAAGGTCAGGGGTTTTGGAGCTTGGGGGCTTTAATGATAAAAATAATAATAATAATACTTTATTTAAAGAGGGTAACCAGATTGGTGCAAGCACAATTCCTCCCCAGGGCCTTCTGTCAATAAACATTATAAAGATAACATAGTTATACACATACAAACACATAATAAATATATACATAAATATACAAAGACAAATTTGAATCACAAATTTTTCTGACTTTGTTTTACATAATGTTTTACTTGTTTCTTGAAAGCATTAAGAGTTGGTGACATTTTTATATGTACAGGTAAATCATTCAATAACATGGCACCAGAGTACTGGAAGGAATTTTCAAAAAGTTTGCATTTATGAATTGGCACACACAAGTCAACATTGGATTCAGATCGAAGATTGTATTTGTTTTTACTTTGAAATTGAAACATGTCATTTAAATAAGTAGGGCAAGAATTAAAGAGGGATTTATATAGTAATACATATTTATTTACAGTAAGTTGTAAATAGACACTTAGCAAATCAAGTTCGTCAAAGAGGCCGTGAGGGTGCATCAGGGGGAGCATCTAAAATATACCTTGCAGCACGTTTTTGAAGCTTATGAACTCTGTCAAGATTTGATCGGGATGTATTGCCCCAAATTGTAAGGCAGTTATCAATAGTAGGCATGATATATGCATTGTTAAACAGCTTGAGTGTTTGAGTGGGAAGATACTTTTTATTTCTTCGGAGGGTAGAAAGTTAACGTGACAGGGATTTTCACACTGGTCGATATGTACATGTAGACTCTACTGTAAAGAATTATCTAAATATACTCCAAGAATCTTTTCATGTGTTACGTTGTCTAGCTTCTGATTTGATATGTATAAAAAAAAATCATGCTCTGAGAATTTTGATCTCTTCTGATGTATGCCTATTAACATGCATTTACTTTTTGAAGCATTAAATACCATTTGATTCTGAGAGCACCATTTTTCTATACAAGCAATATCCATTGATAATGCATTTACAATAGATTGGGAATCTTTGCCGGGGACATGAAGAGTGGCATCATCTGCAAACAAATCTATGTTTGAATTTTTAATATTAAGTGGAAGATCGTTAATGTAAAGTAAAAGCAGAAGAGGCCCTAGTATAGATCCCTGTGGAACTACCACTGTGACTTGCTGATAAGATGATTGTTTGTTAGACAGATGGACACTTTGAAGTCTGTCACTTAAGTTTGATCGAAATCACGGTAAAGTTATTTCATTAAGATTATAACACTGTAGCTTTTTAAGAAGAATTTCATGATTCACTAGGTCATATGCCTTACTGAAGTCAAGAAAGACAGTGCCAACAAGCTTGCCTTGATCCATTTCATATAACCATTCATCTGAAATTTTTACTTAGGGCTGTTTGACATTAGTGCAGTTCTCTGAAATCTGATTGAGATTCTATTAAAAGATCAAAGTTTGAAAAGAGAGATTGGATATATTTTGCCACATATTTTTCTACAATTTTTTATAATGTCGGTAAAATAGAAATGGGTCTGTAGTTATTTGGATCTGGTTTGTTTCCCTTTTTAAAGACTGGTGTAACTTTGGCAAGTTTAAAACTCTTCGGAAAAATACCACATGTGATACTTGTATTTATTATGTGGGTCACAGGTTTATGTATTATTTGTGCAGTAAGTTTTAATAGACGTGGACCGATGCTATCTACACCTAATGATTTACTAATATTTAGCTTATTAAGCAAGGAAAGCACTTCATCGGGACTTATAAGCGGGATACCAAACATTTCTGTACCCAATTTAGACTGTACAAAATTCAAAAGGTCGTTAATGTCACACTCTTCTTTTACACCTGCAAGGAGTTTAACAGAGATATTTGAAAAAAGAGAATTAAACATCTCTACAGTTACTTGTGTATGCTCTGTAACATTATTATTTTGTGCCAGTGCGGTCGGAATATAATTTTGTGGGGTAGAAGCTAATTTATTTAATGCGTCCCACATCTGACGTGGATTTTTGTTTTGCTCTATAGCTGATTTATAATAATTAATTTTTGCATTTACTATAAGTGATGTTACCTTATTTCGCCATATTCTATAGTTTTCAAAGTCTTTATTTTTATGAAAGTTATTGCGCATGTGTTGTGCTTCGAGAATTTCTTGGGTTAACCATTTTGATCTTGCATCATACTTCACTCTTTTTGTTTTTATTTTTGCATGTTTGTCTAGTACAGTATTAAAAAGTGAATAAATTTTTTTAAATGTATCATTTGGATTAGAGAGTGAATCTAAAGATTGGAAATTTAACTTTTCCAAGTCTGAGAGAAAGTTTATTTCATTAAACTTTTTGAAGTCTCTATATGTTATCTCTGTGTGTTTAAACTTCCTTACATAATCATGTAATTTTCTCGTAAAACAAATAGGATAGTGGTCAGAGACTGCAATTGGCGGTACTACAGATTCACATATGTTCTCGGGTAGGTTAGTATATACATGAATCAATTAGGTTTGATCATATAGTAAAACAGTATAACTGTATAATTTTTTTGAAAATCTTCTTCCTGCTCCTCGGAACTGTTCACGGTAGCTCAGTTGGTAGAGCACTCGCTCCGTGATCGTGAGGTCGAATCTCGGCCGCGACTGACCTCGGTAAAAAATGGGTAGCAGCTGTTCATTCGCCATGCGCTCGGCACTTTGAAGTAAAAGTTGCGGGTCCTTCGGATGAGACCTTAAAAAAAACGAGGTCCCGTGTAACGGCAGGCGTTGGCACGATAAAGATCCCTCACTGCTTAATGGCCTTGATTGCCGAGTAAAGGTCAAAATTTGAAGCCCTTCACCGGTATATGGTGACGTCTCTATATAAGTGAAAAATTCTCGAATGGGACGTAAAACAACATACAATTAATCAATCAATCCTGCTCCTTGGTATTACGCAAACAATCAAACTTACTGCATAGTTATGATGAGCAAAGATGTCTCTTCCCAAATTGGGAGAACAAGAGAGACCAATTTGAGAGGGAGTGCAATTGATAGTCTAAAAGAGCTGAAGTACTGTTGTTTTGTTTTGTCAGAAAGATGATAGTGACAAATGGGGGCAAGTACAGAGAAGTAAATAGATCTGCTTCAACATTTGTTACTGAATAATAGATTATTTGTTGATCCCTGATCATCTTATTTCTCTTGCTTTTGGGCAACATAGACTCAATCATCTACAAATTTGCCTATGTTTTAGTATTTTAAAAATTATAAAGATTTTGATTCTGTTTAACCAAGATCAAAGGCAATTGTTCCGATCCACTGAGATTTAATTACATTTGCAATTAAATATACCCCATTATTTGATAGCTATTTATTAAAATTTTATATTATTTCTATACATTGCATTGAGTTTTATTATTGATTTGTTTACCAGCACGTTTCAAATAAATAGAAATACGGATAGACCGGGTCTTTCTATATATAAACAATATAAACTCGGAAAGACCCTTTCTTTCTAAAAATTGATGAGGGAAATTTTGTAGTAACGTGTTTGTTTGTTTGTTGTTTAACGTCCCTCTCGATAATTTTTCCCTCATACGGAGACTACAACACTTGCCGGTGGAGAGCTGCAAATTTATACCTTTACTCGTCACTCAGGGCCATTGAGCAGTGGGGGATCTTTTTGTGCCAACACCTACTGCGACATAGGTGGTTTATACGTCTCATCCGAAAGACCGGTCTCCACGTCCCGCAGCGGGATTCAAACCAGCGACGAAGGATCAGCTCCTTACTTTGC